TTGTATTTCATCATATCTTGTGTTATTCCATCTTTGAACTGTTGATGAAGGGACAGGATTTTTCCAAAAAAAAAAAAGTATTTAAAATGATAAAAATGTTCTTGGAAGGACTGACATATTTTATAGAAATAGTTTCCTTTCATTTTGAAGTAATATTAAAGTTTTCAGAAGAAAAAAGTGACAAATGATGTAAAATCCTGCACCTTCTACTTCACAGGTGTCAAACATAAGTGGCCCTTGGCTGATTTTCTACTAAAATATTTTAATGATATTTTCTATTAAAATCTTGTTCATTTTCTGTGGTGTTTATCACAGCAGCGTCTCCAGCGTCTCTGTACGTGGCCCCTCCCACCAGAGCAGCACAAATGAAGACTTGTCTCTTTCCAAACGCTCTTAAAGGACGATCGTTTTGACTGTTGACCGTGACACCCTCATCAGAAAAATGTCCAACATGAGAAAAGTGGAGCCGAGTGCAGGATTTTACAACAAAAATTGATTTATTCCTATTTACATACAAGTTCATGTTAAAACTTTGTGTTGAAATTGTATTTTTCTTAAAGTTTCAGGTTGTTCATAAAATAATATTTTGTAAAAGAAAGAGTTCATCAAATCAAAAAAGATTTCTGTAATAGATTTGTGTTTCTCTGCACAAATATTTGAACTTATTGTTATTTTTGAGTTTATATACCATATTTTATTATAATATATTATATATTATATATATATATATATACATATATATTATATATATATATATATATATATATATATATATATATATATATATATATATATATATATATATATATATATATATATATATATATATATATATATATATATATAGATATATATATATATAGATAGATAGATAGCACATATATAGTTTTCTGATCCGGCCCCTTTGAGATCAAAGTCGGTTGGATACGACCCCTGGACCAAAATGACTTTGACACCTCTGTTCTACTTGTTTGAACAATTTTCCCTCCGTTACTTTTCCCTCCGTTACCATGAACTTTCTTAATAAAAAATCTCATGACTCAAAAAGTCAGAGGTTTTTCAACCTAATCTTGTACCATATGGTAGAAAACTATATGAAGCAAATATTCAAACCAGTTTGTTAAGGATATGTAAGTGAGAACCAAGAGTTATCACTGTTTGGATTTATTGACCAAAAAGTGCTGCATATTTCATTCCCTCCGTTACTGATGTGAGTTTTTTTTAATTTTTTGTCTTGAACTTGAAAGAATCTCACAGGTTTAACTTGACCCTGTTGGAGTGTAACTCTTTCCTACATTCTGATACTTTACTTATTTCAATAGTTCCTCTAGTTTCTGAATAAGAGACATTTGAACGTCAAAAATCTGCCTGTTTCCCTCCGTTAACACTTGACCAGACCCAAAAGCAGCTCAAAGTTTGTCTAGAAAGCTGTGAGAATATTTCAAAGGAGCCCACTGTAGGCTGCGTTACAGGTCAGATCTGTGGAAGAGGCGCCGCATTCACAGACAACACGATTGTATTTTTGAACAATAAAAACTCCCGTAGTGAATAAAAGCGACACAGATTCTACACAGAGAGACTCCGGGCAAAGCAGGAACGTTCCGCAGTGGAGCTTTAAAGCGCCCGTTACCTCTGGGCTCTGGTCTGGAAGCAGCGGATGAACTGCGGCAGCTCGGTCTGGAGGTTGAAGGTGAGCGGGAGCCAGTCGGACTTGACCCGGCGGGACACGGCGGACAGACAGTCTTTGACCGTGAGGAGGCTCTCGCACGGGAACTGGTTCAGCAGGACGTGAGGACGCAGTTCACTCAGAGTCCTGCAGGGGGAGACAGAGACACAGGGAACTGAGGAAGAGCTTTTCTCAGCCGGGTTCTGCTGCTGCGGGGGACGATGTGACGATGTTCAAATCTCACGGTTCCATATTATCACAATACACATCTCATTGTACAATATTTATTACAATATTTTGGAGACGCTGATAAAACTGTAGCTAGGAAACTTTATTGCTTTTAAAATACAGTCGTCACCCCACACCTAAACCAGGACTAAACCAGGACTAAAGCAGGACTAGAGCAGGACTAGACCAAGGACTAGACCAAGACTAGAGCAGGACGAGTCTGACCTGAAGTCCTTGATGTGGTTGTAGGCCCAGATGACGTCGGCCTCGTCCTGATCGTCCGTCAACTTAAACCGAGGGTGAGTCAGATTATTACTGACCTGAGAGAGCTCCGAGTACACTCTGAAACACACACAAATACTGTTAAATACACTCTGAAACACACACAAACACACACAAACACACAAATACTGCACACACACAAATACTGTCAAAATACACTCTGAAACACACACAAACACACACACACAAACACACAAAAACACACACACACAACACAACAAATACTGTCAAATACACTCTGAAAACACACACAAACACACACAAACACACACAAATACTGTCAAATACTGAAATACACTCTGAAAACACACACAAAAACACACACAAACACACACACAAATACTGCAATACTGTTAAATACACTCTGAAACACACACACACACACACACACAAATACTGTTAAATACACTCTGAACACACACAAAACACACACAAACACACACACAAATACTGTTAAATACACTCTGAAACACACACAAACACACACAAACACACACAAATACTGTCAAATACACTCTGAAACACACACAAACACACACAAACACACACAAACACACACAAATACTGTCAAATACACTCTGAAACACACACAAACAAACACACACAAATACTGTCAAATACACTCTGAAACACACACAAACACACACAAATACTGTTAAATACACTCTGAAACACACAAAACACACACAGTATTGTAAAATACAACTCATACACACAAGGTACAAAGTGTGTAACTGTCAGTGTTCTGGTGGTGACAGATAAAAGTGTAAAAACTGTCGCTGGTGTTTTTGATGTCAGTTTGTTTTCATGGAGATAAGTCAGAAAATCATTATTTTATTTGTATTTATTTCAAATATTAAGTCGTGTCACCACACCACAATTATATTTTATTTTATTTGTTAAATATTTAACTTTGAGTCATGAGAACTTTTATCTCACCTGGAGGGAAAGAGTGAAAAACAGAAGAGACGAAAGAGAAAAGACGATAGAAACACAGAAAAATGTGAAGAGAGAGAGAGGACAGACGAGACAGGGACAGGAGAGAGGAGACAGGGACAGGAGAGAGGACAGACAGGAGAGAGGAGACAGGAGAGAGGAGACAGGAGGAGACGGAGACAGGGAGGAGAGAGGAGACAGGGACAGGAGAGAGGAGACAGGGACAGGAGAGAGGAGACAGGGACAGGAGAGAGGAGACAGGGACAGGAGAGAGGAGACAGGAGAGAGGAGACAGGAGAGAGGAGACAGGAGAGGGACAGGAGGAGAGAGGAGACAGGGGCAGGAGAGAGGAGACAGGAGAGAGGAGACAGGAGAGAGGAGACAGGAGAGAGGAGAGAGAGAGGAGACAGGAGGAGGCAGAGAGAGAGGGGACAGGAGAGAGGAGACAGGGGCAGGAGAGAGAGAGGAGACAGGGGCAGGAGAGAGGAGACAGGGGACAGGGAGAGAGAGACAGACAGGGGACAGGAGAGAGGAGACAGGAGACAGGAGAGAGGAGACAGGGCAGGAGAGAGGAGACAGGGGACAGGAGAGAGGAGACAGAGGAGAGAGAGGAGGAGACAGAGGAGACAGGGAGAGGAGAGAGGAGACAGGAGACAGGGAGGAGAGAGGAGACAGGGGACAGGAGAGAGGAGACAGGGACAGGAGAGAGGGACAGGGACAGGGACAGGGACAGGAGAGAGGAGACAGGAGAGAGGAGACAGGAGGAGAGAGGAGACAGGGACAGGAGAGAGGAGACAGAAGAGAGGGACACAGGAGAGAGGAGACAGGGGCAGGGGAGAGAGGAGACAGGGGCAGGAGAGAGGAGACAGAGAGGAGACAGGGGAGGAGAGAGGAGACAGGGGACAGGAGAGAGGAGACAGGAGACAGGAGAGAGGAGACAGGGCAGAGGAGGAGGAGACAGAGGGACAGGGAGAGAGGGAGAGAGAGGAGACAGGGGCAGGAGAGAGGAGACAGGGGCAGGAGAGAGGAGACAGGGCAGAGGAGAGAGGAGACAGGGACAGGGCAGGAGAGAGGAGACAGGGGCAGGAGAGAGGAGACAGGGGCAGGAGAGAGGAGACAGGGGCAGGACTTGTCTTACTTCAGGACTCTGTCGTGAGGAACAGTGAAAGATTCGATCTCGACCGGGAGCTGCTCTTTGTTTTCTTGAGCGATCGCCTGAAAAAAACAAAAAACAAACTTTAAGTCTCGGCGGGGCGTGCGGCGCGGCGCGCGGCGGCGTGCGGGCGTGCGGCGGTGCGTGCGGCGGGTGCGCGGCGGCGCGGCGGCGGCGCGGCGGCGGGGGCGGCGGGCTTGGATCGCTGCACATCACACTAGAGCAGAGGTTTTTTTTTAACATTTGGACCAAAATGACGAGGCAGTAGAATAAAGATCACACGCCTCTTCTCAACGTCAGGTGTCGTTGAGAAGAAACGACTAGAACATGGAGAAAGTTCTGAGGAGAAGAGTTTGTAGAGCAGGTCCAGAGTCGGTCCAGAGTCGGTCCAGAGTCGGTCCAGAGTCGGTCCAGAGTCGGTCCAGAGTCGGTCCAGAGTCGGTCCAGAGTCTGCGGTTTGGAGATTTACCAGGTAATATTCGTCCGAAGGCTCCGTTGTTTCGCTGCTGACGTCGTCGAGGTCGGCGGGTTTCCACGGCAACAGTCGACACTTCCTTATCAACGGGTTTGTCTCCCCGTACGCGTAATCCCTCGTCACCTCGTCTGAACACAAAACACACAAACACACACGTCACACACGTCACACACACACATCACACACACACGTCACACACACGTCACACACACACACATCACACACACACTCACACACACACACGTCACACACACACGTCACACACACACGTCACACACACACACACACACACGTCACACACACACACACACACACGTCACACACACACGTCACACACACACGTCACACACACACACACACACACACACACACACAGTCTCTGGTCTCACCGTCCTGGTCCAGATCTTCCAGGGGCCAGAGGACAGAGTAGGTGACCTGCTCTGGGACGCAGAAGAACGGGGCGAGTCCACACGAGGGCGAGTCCGAGTGCTGGACCTGAGACCCGAACTCGTCCATGATGTACCACACCGGAACCTTCTGCTCTGCCGACTGAGACGCGAACAAGTCAGACGCCCTGGAGCCGGACACGGGGCCGGACTCGGGCCTTTTTTCCAACCCTGTTTTTGTCCCGCTCCCATCCCCAGTCCAGTCCCCAGTCCAGTCCCCAGTCCAGTCCCCAGTCCAGTCCCCAGTCCAGTCCCCAGTCCAGTCCCCTCCAGTCCCGGCTCCAGTCCCGGCTCCAGTCCCGGCTCCAGTCCCAGTCCAGTTCCCAGCTCCAGTCCCGGCTCCAGTCCCCAGTCCCGGCTCCAGTCCCGGCTCCAGTCCCGGTCCCGGTCCTTACCCCCTGTGAGAGCTGGTAGGTCTGGTTGTACTTCCACATCTCCTCCAGGACCTGCTCCACGGACTCTGGATCTGGGATTTCTCCGTGGAAGTCGAGTCCCATCAGAGCCGCCATCCTGGACATGAGCCCGGGCACCTCCTGCAGCTGCTGCCGCGCGTAGACCGACCGGTAGGTCCAGGCATGGTCCACACAGACACAGAGACACAGACCCGGTTTAGACCCAGCACACACACAGACCCGACACAGACCCGGTTTAGACCCGGTTTAGACCCGACACAGACCCGACACAGACCCGGTTTAGACCCGACACAGACACAGACCCGACACAGACACAGACCCGGTTTAGACCCGACACAGACACAGACCCTGACACCAGACCCAGTTTAGACCCAGTTTAGACCCAGTTGAGACCCAGTTGAGACCCAGTTGAGACCAGGTTTAGACCAAATTTAGATCAAATTTAAACCCATTTCAGACCCATTTTAGTCCGGGTTTAAAAACCCTTTTAGACACAATTTAGACCCAAGTTAGAACCAGTTTAAACCAAGTTGAGACCCAGTTGAGACCCAGTTGACACCCGGTTGAGACCCGGTTGAGACCCGATTTAGACCAAGATTAGACCAAGTTTAGACCCAAGTTAGAACCAGTTTAGACACCAGTTGAGACCCAAATTAGACGAAGTTTAGACCAAGTTTAGACCAAATTTAGACCCATTTTAGACCCATTTTAGACCCATTTCAGACCGGGTTTAAACCCATTTTAAACCAAGTTTAGACCCAGTTTAGACCAAATATAGCCCGGGTTTAGACCTGATTTAAACTCAGTTTAGACCCAGTTTAGACCCAGTTTAGACCCGGTTCAGACGTGTTAAACGTGTGAATGAAACAAAACAAAAGTCCAGGTGTTTTGGAGACGGTCTCGGCGTTAGAACATGATTTAAAGTGGATGTTTAATCGTGTCGCGGCGTCACCTGTCGGGGTCGTCCGTCTGGAGGCCGCTCGCCCGCGTCACCACCACCTTGGACCCGATGATGCCGGGGGCCGAGTCCGAGTCCGAGTCCGAGTGAATCTGCACGATCCCAAACACCTCTCCAGCGTCGAACACCTGGAACAGAACCTCATCAGCCCAAAACAAGACCCAGACCCAGACCAAGACCCAGACCCAGACCCAGACCAAGACCCAGACCCAGACCTGGAGACCCAGACCAAGACCAAGACCCAGACCTGGAGACCCAGACCAAGACCCAGACCAAGACCCAGACCAAGACCAGACGAGACCCAGACCGAGACCCAGACCGAGACCCAGACCCAGACCGAGACCCAGACCCAGACCTGGAGACCTGAGAGACCCAGACCCGGACCCAGACCCTAGACCTAGACCCAGACCAGACCAGAGACAAGACCACCCAGACCCAGACCAGACCCAGACCAGACCCAAGACCAGACCCCAGACCCAGAGACCAGACTGGAGACCCAGACCCAGACCAGACCCAGATGGAGACCCAGACCTGAGAAGACCCCAGACCAGACCCCAGACCCAGACCCAGACCTGGAGACCCAGACCCAGACCAGACCAGACCAGACCTGAGACCCAGACCCAGACCCAGACCTGGAGACCCAGACCGAGAAGACCAGACCAGACCCCAGACCCCAGAGACCCAGGAGCCGGACCAGCAGACCGAGACCAGACAGACCGAGAAGACCCAGACCCAGACCCCAGACCCAGACCCAGACCTGAGACGAGACCGAGACCGAGACCGAGACCCAGACCAGACCAGACCTGGAGACGGTCCCTCTGCTCCTGACAGGTTTTTTCTGTACAATATTATGACTATGACCATTACATTTTCTTGTTTAAAAGCCACAGTACGTAACTTTCTGAAGGCGCAGTACGGCATTAAACTTTTCTATCTCCATGGAGACCAAACGAGACCGAGTTATAGGCCAGATCTGTGGAGAGGCGACCCCGCTCACAGAAGGAATTATTTTATTTTTGAGCGACAGAAACACAAAAACAAAAATGTTACGCAGAGCAGCTTTAGTTTTGTACTTCACATTCACTTCAAATTATTAACCAGATGTTCACACAGTTACTCTTAATTCAGTTGTACTTTTCCCAAAATACTTTTATATCCTGACTTTTCTTGGACCACTAGTTTGTACTTAAAAAAAATATATATATACATATTTATTTGTTTATTTCATTCATAAAGTATAAAAAAAAACTTAAAAATTTTAACTCACAAGAAATGAATGAAAAGGAGCAGAAAAAAAAGTCATCTTATGTTGTTTTGTTTTTCGTACAAACTAATAATAATATTAATAAAGGCAAAAAGGTTTATCGTTTATGATAGGTTCACCTTTACCTATACTCAATATTCAATAACAAGAGAGAAGACAAGAGATTAATATCTTTTACACGCGTGGAGGGAGAAGAACCGAGAGAAGAACTTTAGTTACATGTAACTTGCTGTTCTCTCAAATACTCTCTAAAGCCTTTTATTCAGTATTAGGAGCCCTAGTTACATGGGAACTACTCATCTCAGAACGGGAGGGGGAACATGCAAAACATTAAACATTAAAGGAGTAGTTCCTTTTTTGCTTACAGGAAACACAAAAATAACACTTCAGTACAGTATTCAGCCAGAGTTAAGGTCAGTCTGCCCTCCTCATTTCATCCTCCTTAGTTTATCCTCCTTAAGCAATGGTCGCCCAAGATGTTTCCTGTTATTGAATAGACAGGACTTCATGACCTTCTGCAACTCATGAAATCATTACATACACAGTGAGATTAATATAAATGTTGAATCCATCAGTTTATGATGATGGTTTAGACACAAGTTTAGACCGGGTTTAGTCTCGGTTTAGTCCCGGTTTAGTCCCGGTTTAGACCGGGTTTAGACCCGGTTTAGACCCAGTTCAGACCCAGTTTAGACCCAGTGTAGACCCAGTGTAGACCCAGTTTAGACCCAATTCAGACCAAATGTAGACCCAGTTTAGACCCAGTTTATCGTTTATGTTCGTACAAAATAAACCACAATGAGAATGAAAAAAAAAGTGTGATTTTTTTTTTTTTTTTAGTTTTGTTTAGATTTTTTTCGTTTCTGGTTGTACAAACTAATAACAGTGATACAGGAGGAACAACACTGATACTTTATGATGTTTTATGAAGTTTTGTTGGAGTCATAGACCGAATACAACTGGAAAATACTCGTGTGTTCTTTAAAATACTCGCGTGTTCTTTAAAATACTCGTGTTTTCTTGATTCACGCACCTCGTCGCGGATCTTGCGGTGCAGACTTTTCCAGTAGATCCTCGGGAGCCCCGCAGCCTGAAGCGCGGCCGCGTGAAGAGCCTCAAACTCCGCGTAACCCTCCAGCTGCTCCCGGTCCCCCGCCCCGCCGTCCCCGTTCATCCCCGGGGCCGCGGGGGCCGCGGGGCCGCGGGGCTCGGGCCGCGGGTGGAGGGTTTGTTGTTGACATGTTTCACGCCGGTGAGACTCACGTGGATCCAACCAGGAAGTGAAAACAGGAGCGGTGCATTGTGGGTTTTGGGGTTTTAAAGGGACACGCTCACGCAACTTTATAATTTTTTATTTTTTTTTAATTAGTACTTCAAAATCCGAGATACAGCATAGATCAAAACACAATTGTAGAATAATAATAATAATAATAATAATAATAATAATAATAATAATAATAATAATAAAAAGGTTCTGATCAAAAGAACAAGAATCCCGCCGGTTTCTTTTCTTTCATTCAGGTTCAGTGAGTTAACGAAAAGTTTCAGGTCATTTTTAAAGTGTGTGTTATATTTAGTTTTATCTTTAAAAAAAAAAAAAAAAAAAAAAAAAAAAAAACGACATTTGTGAATAAAATATTTTACCTAAAATCAATAATTATTAATATAAAATTATCTTCTTTTAGCTTCTGTTCATACACCATTTTTTTTCTTTAATGGTTAAAGAGGCAAATGAAATTCCCCTCGACTGAAGCAACGAATGAAAAGGTTCACAGGACTAAACCAGGTCTAAACCAGGACTAAACCAGAACTAAACCAGGTCTAAACCAGGACTAAAAACGCAACTAAACCAGGTCTAAATCAGGACTAAACCAGGTCTAAACCAAGACTAAATCAGGACTAAACCAGGACTAAACCAGGACTAAACAAAGGACTAAACCAGGACTAAACCAGGTCTAAATCAGGACTAAACCAGGACTAAACCAGGTCTAAATCAGGACTAAACCAGGACTAAAACCAGGACTAAACCAGGACTAAACCAGGTCTAAACCAGGTCTAAACCAGGACTAAACCAGGTCTAAAATCAGGACTAAACCAGGTCTAACCAGGTAAACCAGGACTAAACCAGGACTAACAGGACTAAACCAGGACTAAACCAGGACTAAACCAGGACTAAACCAGGACTAAACCAGGACTAAACCAGGACCAGGTCTCATAAACCAGGGACTAAAGGACTAAATCAGGAACTAAACCAGGTAAACCAGGACTAAACCAGGACTAACAGGACTAAACCAGGTCTAAATCAGGACTAAACCAGGTCTAAACCAGGTCTAAACCAGGTCTAAATCAGGACTAAACCAGGACTAAACCAGGACTAAATCAGGACTAAACCAGGTCTAAACCAGGACTAAACCAGGTCTAAACCAGGACTAAACCAGGACTAAACCAGGTCTAAACCAGGTCTAAACCAAGACTAAACCAGGTCTAAACCAGGTCTAAAACCAGGACTAAACCAGGTCTAAACCAGGTCTAAACCAGGACTAAACCAGGTCTAAACCAGGTCTAAACCAGGACTAAACCAGGTCTAAACAGGTCTAAACCAGGACTAAACCAGGTCTAAACCAGGACTAAACCAGGACTAAACCAGGTCTAAAACCAGGACTAAACCAGGACTAAACCAGAACTAAAAGGACTAAACCAGGTCAGGACTAAACCAGGACTAAACCAGGACTAAACCAGGACTAAACCAGGTCTAAACCAGGACTAAACCAGGTCTAAACCAGGACTAAACCAGGACTAAACTGAACACGACCTGGACATGTTTTGGTCTACGTCTCTGGACTGGTCTGGGAACACCTCGGGGTCCCTGTGGGGGATCTGGAGGAAGTGTCCGGGGTGAGGGAAGTCTGGGAGTCCCTGTTTAGACTGATGCCCCCGAGACCCGACGCCGGAGAAGAAGAAGAACATGGACGGACTCCAAGTCTGATTTAAGAATTTATTCATGATTTAAACTTTTACTTATTTAGACAAACTTACAATAAAACAACAACAACAACAAGAGGGTTTGGTTTAATCTCTGTTGCTTCAAAATAATATTTACTCGAGTAGAAGTACAAGGTAGAGCTCCAAGTAAGAGTTAAAAGTATTTGGGAAAAGTACTACTCGAGTAAGAGTAACTTAAAGCTGCACAGTGTAACTTTTCCTGGTGGAACGCTTTTCTCCAGGGAGATGTTTCTGCTTGGTCTGGAATGTTTCACAGTGTGGCATTAAATAAACCTTTCTATCTCCACGGAGACCAAACCAGAGCGAGTTCCAGGTCAGATCTGTGGAGAGGCGACCCCGCTCACAGTCAGAAATGTCGGTTTTTTGAGGGATTTTTGAGATTAAAAACAAAACAAACAAACCTGTGATTGAATAAATGTAAAGTAGATCTGTTTAAAGTCACACTGTGGAACATTCCAGGCAGAGCGGTGACGTAACCATAGAAAAAAAAAACAGGTGAAGGACCAACAACCGAAAAGTTACACAGTGCAGNACATGGACGGACTCCAAGTCTGATTTAAGAATTTATTCATGATTTAAACTTTTACTTATTTAGACAAACTTACAATAAAACAACAACAACAACAAGAGGGTTTGGTTTAATCTCTGTTGCTTCAAAATAATATTTACTCGAGTAGAAGTACAAGGTAGAGCTCCAAGTAAGAGTTAAAAGTATTTGGGAAAAGTACTACTCGAGTAAGAGTAACTTAAAGCTGCACAGTGTAACTTTTCCTGGTGGAACACTTTTCTCCAGGGAGATGTTTCTGCTTGGTCTGGAATGTTTCACAGTGTGGCATTAAATAAAACCTTTCTATCTCCACGGAGACCAAACCAGACCGAGTTCCAGGTCAGATCTGTGGAGAGGCGACCCCGCTCACAGTCAGAAATGTCGGTTTTTTGAGGGATTTTTGAGATTAAAAACAAAACAAACAAACCTGTGATTGAATAAATGTAAAGTAGATCTGTTTTAAAGTCACACTGTGGAACATTCCAGGCAGAGAGCGGTGACGTAACCATAGAAAAAAAAAAAACAGGTGAAGGACCAACAACCGAAAAGTTACACAGTGCAGCTTTAAATTCAGAGTTAAAGTGGGACTGGAGTTACATTTTGAGGAAACATTCTTTGGCGTTGCTCCACACCTGGATGCCCTGCACAAAAACACAAACACGACAAGTTTATACAGTTTTAACATGAACGAAAATAATGTTTGTACGAAAAACAAGCTTCACTCAGAAAGTCCTGTAGTTTTCGGACTATAAGTCGCTCCGGAGTTTAAGTCACACAGCTAAAAAATGTGTAATGAAGAAGAAAAAAACATATAAGTTGCACTTTTTGGGGGAAATTTCTTTTTTAGAATCAGAGACCAGGAGCCGACATTTCATCTCAAAAGTCAAGTTCTCACGGTGCGATATTTACTGCGATATTTTAAAGAGGCTGATGTAACTGTAGATGAGACGCTTTTTTTGCTTTTAAAACACCTTGACAAGATTTTGGTGTGAATTATTTCCGTCGTAATCCCAAGAATTCAAGTAAAACCACGTCTCTTCATGTTGTCTGCGCTGAAATGAATCATGGGAAATGTAGTTCCTGATGTTTATAAGTTACTGATTCTATAAAACTATGAATTTAAGCAAAG